AGCACTCAATCACTAATGAGCCAGGGACTGTGTCCTAGCACTCAATCACTAATGAGCCAGGGACTGTGTCCTAGCACTCAATCACTAAACAGCCAAGGACTGTGTCCTAGCACTCAATCACTAAACAGCTAGGGACTGTGTCCTAGCACTCAATCACTAAACAGCTAGGGACTGTGTCCTAGCACTCAATCACTAAACAGCCAGGGACTGTGTCCTAGCACTCAATCACTAATGAGCCAGGGAATGTGTCCTAGCACTCAATCACTAATGAGCCAGGGACTGTGCCCTAGCACTCAATCACTAATGAGCCAGGGACTGTGCCCTAGCACTCAATCACTAACGAGCCAGGGACTGTGCCCTAGCACTCAATCACTAACGAGCCAGGGACTGGGCCCTTGTGTGACTCTGGAGCCTGACTTGGGGTGTGCCTGTGCACCAGGAGTTTCCAGGGCTGTGTGTCCGAAGTGGACCCTGGGCTGATTCTGCCAGGCAGGAGACTGAGTCACACCCGTCCCACGAAGCAGGGCACAACCTAAGCCCTTCTGGTTACACAAAAGGCTCAGACACCCAGGGGAAGGAGCCTGTGTCTCCCAACTTGCATCTGCCTGTGGAATGGGCCCGGGCGGCTTCTGTGGTTGGACGCTGTGGTGGGGGTGAGGGTCCTATCTGCCCCTGGCTGACACCCCGGCCTGGGGACAGCCAGCGGCCTCTGCCTGGCACACGCAGCACAGCTTGGCTCTGCTGGCTGTGGGTGCAGGAGGCGGAAGGAGCAGGTGGAGCCGTGGGGAGCTCAGCGTGCTCACAGCCCTGGAGAGCTGGGGGGTCACACTGCGGCAGAAACTGCTTCTGGTTGGAGGGCAACTCCCTGGGAGAGTGCTCACACACACACACACACACACACACACCCTACAAGAATGGTGAAGGGAGTGGGGCTGGTCAGTTGAGTCATTTGGTTGGACTCCAGAGTGTGTGTGCAGCCCCGGGAGCGACCTCTGGGCGGCCACTCCAGGGGCCCAGGGAAGTGGGGCAGGACCAGAGCAGCGCGGCTTATGTGAGGTCAGGCCTCACCCCTCTCTTCCCCAGAAGGCAGCCAGGGAGGCCCTCTGGCTGGAGGACAGTCCGGGAGGTGGAGGGACAGGCAGTCGGGGAGGTGGAGGGACAGGCAGTCGGGGAGGTGGAGGGACAGTACCTTTGTCTGGACCATGCCTGGTCTCTGGTCCCGCAGGTGTTCCAGGGTTGCTGCGATATCAATCTCCTTCGCACCTGCAGCAGACCACAAAGGGGCTGAGCCTCAGCCCAGCAGGTGACCCACGCCGCACCCACCGATTGCCTGTGCGTGCCCTGCTTCCCCTGGGCTGAGAGCCAATTGGAAATGATTACACTTTCCCTCAGCAGGCTTGGCCGGCAGCTGCGATTCCAGTGCTCATCGAGAAAAATAGGGCCGGAGCAGCTCCATTAGCATTAATTCAAGAAAGCTGGGCTGAAAAATTGTCAGAGATTCCTGCACAGACCCGCACCAGCAACCGGCCAGTGCGGCTACAAGTGGAGCTTTATTCCGTGTGTGTGTGTGTGTGTGTGTGTGTGAGTGTGCGCATGCTTGTGCGCGCACACGTGCATGTTTCATGACATCTTAAAGAATGTTGCAAGTCACAGGAAACAGTATAAACACTTCAGTTTTGATTGCACAGGATGTTTCTGTTCTTTTTTTTTTCCTTTTGAAGAAAGCATAGCTGGGCACCAGCGGCTCATGCTGGTAATCCTGCTCAGGGGACCAGGGTCTGAGGATCATGGTTCGAAGCCAGCCTGGGCAGGAGCTTCCGTGAGACCCTCAGTTTCACTCCACCACCAAAAAAGCCAGAGGTGGTGCTGTGGTCCAAGTGGTAGAGCATTAGCTGTGAACAAAAGGAGTTCATGGACAGTGTCCAGGCCCTAAGTTCCAGCCTGCTTATCTTCTACAGGGACTGAGGTGAGGAGGGGCTGGGAGGGGCGGGGCTGCCGCTGGGAGCGTGTCTCCTGCAGGCTGCGTCAGGAATCGTGAGTGTGTGTGTGCAGGTGAGTGTTCACACGCTGCACGCGCAGTCCCTGAGGAGAAGCGGCACCCAGCCTCGCTGCCCAGACTGGAACAGGGGCTGGGGAGAAGGGGGCTGGGAAGAAGGGGGGTTGGGGAGAAGGGGGGCTGGGCCCCTCCGTGTGTCTCCTGAAAGGCTTTGCTGTGGTTGCTGAGGACCTTGTGTGCGATCACGTTCTCTCCTGAAAACCCCGTTTTGGTGGCACCAGGCTGGCACAACCGGACACAGCCTGCTGGCCGTGGTGCCAGGAGCAGGATTGTGAGCAGGACAAGAATCTGCATACAGGGGGCAGGGCAGGAACGGCGGCATGGACGGCGGGCACCAGGGGGGGTCGGGGATGGTCCTGGGCTTCAGCCACGCAGCGCCGGGCACGGGCCAGCACCCACGGGGCTTCAGGGACGCTGGTGACCGCAGGGCCGTGCTCTGGCCTGGCAGAGGTCATGGGGCTAGCGAGGGGGCTTCCTGCCAGCTAGCGCTGAGGGGCGTAGCTCAGGGGTCGGCCCAGCTGGCCGGCCTCAGGAAGGGCACATGGCCCTGTGTGCCTGCGCCGGCCCACGTGGCCGCCAGGGCCCTCCGTGCTCGCTCAATCAGAGCTGATGGCTCCTCCTCTCCTGGGGGGGGCGTGATTTTAGCTTTAGATAAAGAGCACCACTCACCCCCCCCAACATGAAGAGAACATTAGCGTGGAAATATTAAAAAGATTTTTTACAGTGAAAGAATCGATCTGCAGCCAGGGTAAACACAGCAGACTTTCCCTTAAGAGTGTCCTTATGAGGTTTGCTTCGATTCTCCTGGACTTGGGATGTTGGCCAAGAGCAACGGTGACCCCACTGATGTCATTGGACCTCCGTGTGCTAGGCGGCCCTGACTGACGGAGGTGGCCTGACTGACCGAGGCCTCTGCACGTGGCCTCCACCAGCACTGACCGAAGCCTCTGCACGTGGCCTCCACCAGCACACTCCCCAGTAATGCACTTGGTAAGTCTCTGCAAAGTACACTACCTTTCCTTGAGGATACAAGAAGAGAATATACATCACATATCCAAGAGAAAAAGACTTTCCTCTTACACAAGAATTGTCCCTGCGCTGCTCTGAAGGACCTGAGAAAATCAAAACCCAGGGCTGCCACAAAGAGGTGCAAATGTCCACCCCCTGCTCGGACTGGAGACTGCACAGGTCCCCACAAGGGGTGCCCAGCCCCGCTCAGACGGGCCAGGTGCGGGGTGGTGACACACCAACCCACACACACACCCAGGCCTCTCCCTGCACACATCATGCCCACGGCTGTAGCAGAGGGAGGCTGGTCATCTCCACCCGGCTTGGGCTCTGTGATGGGACCCCCTGACCCCCTTGCGCCCGGGGGGTCAGCATTGACCCCCCCCCGTGCTACTCCTCTGGGTGACCATTCACTGCTGTGGGCCCAGCTGCTACAGGTGCTCAACCACAGGAATTCTGGGAGGCCTCACCCTTGGCCTGGTGCCCAAACCCTAAAGCTATGGTGATCAGACAGAAAAGTAAAACCCTTCCTAAGGAGGCTCTGGGGACAGAGACGCAAAGGTGGGTTGGCTGGAAGACTGCGCTTGCTTAGGCCTGAGCTGAGCCCTGGAACGAGAGAGTGGAGACGAATGACATCACTTGTGAGCCAGTTCATCCACGCACAGCCTGAGCCTGGCGGTCCCCAGGAGTGCCACAGACAGAGCCACGGCATTCCCGCCACAGAGCCCGCTGAGCCCACAGAGCCCCGCAGAGCCCCTCAGAGCCCCTCAGAACTCCACAGAGCCCCTCAGAGCCCGCTGAGCCCCTCAGAGCCCTGCAGAGCCCCTCAGAGCCCCTCAGAGCCCCACAGAGCCCCACAGAGCCCGCAGAGTCCCTCAGAACCCCACAGAGCCCGCAGAGCCCCACAGAGCCCCTCAGAGCCCCTCAGAACCCCACAGAGCCCGCAGAGCCCCACAGAGCCCCACAGAGCCCCTCAGAGCCCCTCAGAGCCCCACAGAGCCCCACAGAGCCCCTCAGAGCCCCTCAGAGCCCCACAGAGCCCGCAGAGCCCCTCAGAGCCCCACAGAGCCCCTCAGAGCCCCACAGAGCCCCTCAGAGCCTGCAGAGCCCCTCAGAGCCCTCAGAGCCCCTCAGAGCCCCACAGAGCCCGCAGAGCCCCTCAGAGCCCCACAGAGTCCGCAGAGCCCC